TATATATATATATATATATATATATATATATATATATAATTAAGCAAAAATGTTCTCCGTGTTTACCATACTCACCCTTGACGGGCATATTCAAACCTAAGAATGTAAATTTGTCCCTTTCCCTCACCAGCTCACTCATTACGAGTGCCTAGGCCTTGGGACCCTAGGAGGCGGTTTAAAAGGAGAAAGGAACACACACACAACCCAAGCCATACGTCCATTCAAAGCGTTAATCAGCTGAATGTGAGAGATCGATTTTACGTATTTATCAGTGCGAATGTACATTCTTAACATATCAAATGTCCAAGTGCCACACAACTCATCTCATCGTCGTCATGAACATTCTTACAATGCAGGAAATAAGTATAGTCAAAAATACGTAGGTATCCGCGCCAAGTACTTTTGGTTATTAGGAACCTACGCCTACAATACTGTGTAGGATTTCTATATTGTTGAACATGAATTGCTCCAAAGTAAATTTGGAGTTACATTCTTTGGTTTGAATATGCCCGTCAAGGGTGAGTATGGTAAAGACGGAGAACATTTTTGCTTATATTATTACCTGTGTTGCAACTCCAAATTTACTTTGGAGCAATTCATGTTCAATATATATATATATATATATATAATATATTATATATATAATATATATCTAAATATATATAAAATATAATAAATATATATATATTAAATAAATATATATATATAATATATATTAATAATATATATATATTATATATATATAATATATATAATATATTATATATATATATATATATATACACCCATTTGAAAAAACGTTGGCCGCAGATAGATAGATAGATAGATACTCGAAGTCTAATTAGAATTGCATATGATTACATTTGCATGGGATTTCTATAATATTACACAACATATGCAATTCTAATTAGATTTCGATTATCTATCTATATATCTATCTGCGGCCAACGTTTTTGCAAATGGGTGTATATATATATATATATATATATATATATATATATATATATATATATATATATATATATATATATATATATATATATATATATATATATACAGTAGGAGGCAAAAGTTTGAGTCCAGTCGTTGTAGCATTCCAGTATTAAATCCTGGCAGCGTATTCGAGATAAGACATGCGTGCTAGTGTTTCAGTACTGTAAACTATATTAATTGCACACTGTTTTGGTCCTAATGATCTAAATTATAACAAAATAAAGTTCTCATTCCTTTACACTGCCCAAGATGGGTGGGAGAAAGGGCATAGTGATGGTGCACAAGGACAAATAGTTGCATTAAGTATTGAAGGATTCTTTCCTCGTAAGATCGCAGAAAAAGTGAAATTAAAAAGGTGGTATGCAACTAACCTTGGAGAGGTTCGAAGAAACTAAATCCTACTCAAGCAAACTTTTAGCTGCTTTGGTCATGCTCGGTTTGGCAATATTGAAAGATTTAATAGGATCCTAATTAAAGAAAAGTATCATCCAATTCTTCAAGGACATGGAATTTCATCTGGCACAAAGATGATCGCACGTCTAACTACATGATAATCACCCTAAGCACAAGCACATCTTCTATGTGCCAGAAATCTTTTAGAAGCAAACTCATGCTGGTGATCTCGTTGTCATGGCTTTCCACCTCATATTCCAGATCTAAAACCTATGGAGCACTTGTAGAACCGTTTTAACCGGAAGAGGGCGAGGCACAGACCCGCCAGCCAGGCTGACTTGAGGCAAGTGGTCAACGAATGCTGGCAAGGTTTTGAACGTGTGACATTAAAAAACCTATGGAATCTATGCGAGCAAGAATAAAGATCATTTCAAGAGCAAAAAAGAGGGAACTAAGCAATGACATGTAAATGCATGTTTGCACATTAAAATACGTAAAAATGAATATCATAACATCTCATAGCTGTTGTACAGCATGTATTTTTCTGTTTACTTATTTACTTTTTTCTAGTTCACTTATCGGTAAAGTTTTCTGTAGAATATTAATATATGCTGCTAAAACAATGAAATACAGTCACTGGACTCAAACTTTTGCCTCCTACTGTATATATATATATATCAATATTTTGTGGGACAAAAATTCAAAAATAAGGTTTCTGCGCGGAGGACTGGAAACGAGTTGGTCGGAAACTTTGGAAATCAAAGAAAGGAGCGGCAAAAAGGGCGATCGTTACACAGAGGAGAGATTGAAAGAGGTTCGACTCGCGTCTCCACGCTTCCCCATTTTCTTACTAGGGAAATTAAGCATGAAGACGTGAACGTCAAAGACGACGTGAAAATAACGAGTAAATGGCGTGGCATGTCCATATTTGGGCGCATCATGCCATTTATTCGCTATTTCACGTCGTCTTTGACGTTCACGTCCTCGTGCTAAATCGCCCTACTTATAACGCTAGTAAGCGTTTCCATCCGATTCCCTTCTGGTAAGTTCTTGAGCACATTTTTGATAAGGAAAAATGAAATTTTTGTGAGTAAAAATGCAATTTAAAAAAATTTAATCGCTTTGCCTGAAATGTTCCAAACTTTTTTTGTAATGAAAGGTAAGAGCTAGATATGTTTTCTTTAGAAAGCCCAGGAATAATATGCTTGGTGAAAATTAGATCAAAAAAATTTGAAAAATGACTGAGAAAGTATGTAATCTAACAGCAACTCTGCTTGAGAAGTAATGAATCATAATTATGAATGTTTTCAGTGAATGTTTGTATCATCAAATGGTACTAAGTATTAAAAAACTGATATCCTCTGCGAGTTAAAGCTATATGACGTCAAAGCCCCGAAATGTCTAAAAAATTGACCTATAGTTCATTTTAATGATCATTTTGACTTCAGCTTGTATATTATAATCATTTTATTATTTATATTTAAACCATTATACTACCGGATTGCATAATATTGTCATTGAAAACAAATTATTTCCATAAACTTGGTGTTTTGATGGCTGATATACTACAATACGGATAAGATATTTACTGGTTTGCTGTACTGTAGTAATAACTGATGATTGCAATGGACATTTGATTTGCTGGTTGGATTACCTCAGTAAATTCTGGACTGTAATGGACTTATTTCTGTTGATAATGGGTGTACAGCAACCAAAAATGTTGTAATGGATAAATAATTTGCTCATTTTGCTGGTTGGTGTAATAACTGGATTGTTGTTGGTTGGGTTACCAACTGAATGACTTTGCATTTTAATTGACAAATGGCTCGCCGGTTGGTGGACTCGATATCATTTGAATTGCACTATAATTAACAAATGGTTTGTATGATGGACAAATGATTTGCTTGTTGGTGTTCTACAATAACTATTAGATTGTGTAATGGGCAAATGATTTGCAGGTTGGATTAATTCAATAATAATTATTACTGACGGTAATCTTGTAAATCAGTGACATTTTAATCTTGGTAATATAAAGTACTGCGACCCTATGCCCCACTGGTGGCCACAAGGACTGAAGAAGAATATAAAGTACTTAGTTATATGTAATCACGTCTCGTTAATATTCATGTAATTTGTTATAATGACGATTTACCGTGTTTCAATAGATTTGTTTGATTGATTGATTGATTGATTGATCGATCGATCGATTGATTGATTGATATATTGATTGATATCCCTCACGTACAGGTTACCATATAGATTGCTTACAAGGTACCTCTTACTTCTCTTGGATGCATCTTTGTTCCGCGGGTATTGGCAAGTGAAAGTCGACGACGCATCCAAACCAAAAACAGCTTTTGCTACCCATAGCGGTTTGTTAGAGTCTCGGAAAATGCCGCTTGGTTTAGCAAACGCTCTCCTCTACATTTCAACGTGTAATGCATGCAATTCTGTGGGGTCTACAATATGAAAATTTTCTGAAATACTTAAACGATATAATTACTTTTAAATGACCGCAAATTCACCATTTACACTGATCATCATGCATTGCGTTGGCTAGTGTCCATTAAAGATCAGGCCAATGGTCGCGTTGGACTTTGCTTATTCAACAGTATGAATTTACGATTGTCTATAAGGCAGGAAAGCTTAACTCAGATGCAGACGCACTTTCAAGACGATTTTACGCTGAAACCCCAACTATAAACAAATACGACGTCGCCGCGGAGTGCCAAGTGAACGTATTCGCAGACTCCACGCACGTTCTTTTCTATCACAAGGCGATAAATTCTATCTCGATGAAAACGGCCTACTCTGTTTCTTCTGGACACCTACCAAGCGAGGAAGGTATGACATTTGCTCTCAGTTAGTTATCCCGGACGCTTTAAACATGCCCGAAGTTTTGAGTTTTGCTCATGACGATATCACAGCTGGTCACCTAGGTCCTCGAAAGACCAATGGAAAGATTGGCGTAACATGTTTCGGGATATCGAACGATGCATGGTGTAAGAGGGCGTAACTTGTAAGAGTTGTGTCGATTGTACGATGAGTCTCCGCGTAACCGTGACAAAGCCCCCTTCTATATACCTATCCCGTCAAAAACGCATTCGATCGAGTGGTGAAACTGCATTTCCCGCAGCGGTGAAACTGCATTCGCGTGCAAGGCAGATGTAAATCACGATAAATGTGAATACAGGCGAACAATGCGAAAATCACTCCGGTTTTGAGGTGATATAAAAAGTAATCCGGTATGTACCGGAGCAGTGTAAACAGACCGATCCGGTACAAAACTTATTTTGGCGCGAAATTTGTAAGCCAAGTCGTGTCTTACGACAATGACTCAGGCAGTATTTAGCGGGAAAAGGGTTTTTTTGGCAAAGTGACTATGGCAACATGAAAAAGTGATGAGCTGGCAACAAAGGTAAACGGCGCAATCGGTATAGTGTAAACACGCTTATTTTTTGATTGGAGTCAAAATTAATTCGGTGTGGAAAGTAATCCAGTATGGTGTAAACGGGGCCTAGAACACTCTAAAATATACCAGCAATTTTTCTGTACGGAATTTTAATTAACAGGACCGGTCTGGCCGTTTTTACCGTATAAAGGAAGGCGCCCTATATGTTATCCTCTCCGTTTTGCGGCTAGTCCCAGATAATCCGTAAGGAGTGTTAACATCAACTGAATTTTAATAAAATTGTCAATTAAGCATGGATTAACTATGCCTGTAAATGGCAATCTGGCTACTTCTTATTGTGTACATATATTAGAGCTATATAGTTAATGCTAAATCGTCATCCTTGGATTTGTGCCGCGGCTATATTCTACCTAAATTTTGCACCAAGGAACACAACACATAATTGAAGTCCAATCGTGAGAAAAGTCACAATTGTTCCAATCATTGTTGACTTTTTTTATCGGCACAGTACAATTTACCCACCAGACGCATGTTCCAGATAATACAAACTTGCAATTCAACATCCAGTCATCTGTAGAACATTTTATTTTCACAGAATTACCGTTTGCGATCGCCTCAGGGCAAATATTAAAAAATCTACGATGTCTTTTGATATGGGTATCTACAAAGTTAGAAAAGAGAAACTTATATATTACATACACCATAAACACTCTTGCAAGGGTGTAAGAAGCGTTGCACGAAAGAACAAAGGAATACAAACAGAAACATTCGATTAATTTTTTAGACAAACGGCAAACGTTGCGAAAAATGCTGCTCGTGTACAATCTCTAAGGTGGCACGCAGAACAATGGGTTTCTCGTGGATGCACACGCCTGCTAATTCCGAACCGCTATTTATACATCTGGGGCCGGTTGTATCAAGCCCGTTTAGCTTAAACGGCGGATAAGCTAAAATTAAATAACACTCTTACATCCCTCTTGAATGATTCAACTTGAATATTATGCACTGAAAATGTAGTTGTAAACACTATCTTTGTATTAAGGTTAAAAACATTTAGTTAGCTTCTTGAATAAAACGATAGACTTACTTTCTATTTTTATCTTAACCACCGTTTAAGCTAAACGGGCTTGATACAACCGGCCTCTGACAGAGAGCCACTTTATGTATATATTCATTTTTGTGGGTGAATTTAAATTTCTTTTAAAGCTTCTTAGTCCCATAGAAAATTTTTTATTCCATACCATTTCCATTTTTGCTAGCTTCTTTTAGACTGTAAACAGGCAAATCACGGCAAAATTTAGCCACTGCTGGCTCCAAATCTCTTGGGTCCAATTTTTCATCAATGGTCCATTCAGTTGAGCTCACTCTAACACTAGGTTTTCGTTCCGTTTTTCCTTCCAATCTGTTCACCTATATAACGATAAAAGAGCAATGTCAATGATCCAGAAGAAATAAATAATTGTGAAAGTGTGTATTTAAACATTTTAGGCAGATAATTTCAAACGAATAAAAAACAAAGCGAAAATGAAAACGTTGGAGAGCAGAGAATGCATGGTTGTTTGAGATTAAGTAGCTATCCAACGAAGTTTCGTGTATCGTGTAATTTGCCTGCATGAAGCTTTGATAACTTTGCAACTTAGCTAAATCCAGCAATTGCTACGTCAAAATTGCCACAGATAGCAGCGGCATTAAAATTTTTTTTGTGGAATCTGAATGTTTCAACCATCATTTTTAGTATCCTCGTATGCACTATATGTAATTATGTAGAAAAAGAAGTAAGTTTTCACCCGTTGTACAAGCAACTTGGTGTCTATACCCCGGTTATAATTATATTCTCAATTTAGAGCACGGGCATTACGGCGGTCAGAGGATCATTTGACTAATGATTAACATCGCGATGCACACGCAGTAAGCGGAAAATCTTTGGAACGAGGATAGATGCTATGGTTTGCATGTTGGATACAATCGTATTGTAAATAATGAAATTTAAACTCGTTTGAGACGATTGTCCGACGGTAACACTCCTGATCTCAAATGAGAGTGTGTGGGGTCATAGCCATTAAGTTGATTGTTCACCTTGTGAAATTTTATACTTTTAAAAATCACCTCGAATAAATTTAGATCGAATTTTACATACAGAAGCGATTTGGAAGCAATTACGAAAAAGTACGATCGCAGTTGCCGTTCGCTTCCGAACGGAATGCTATGAATACTGAATAGCTGAGAACGCCAACATAACAATGATGTCGAAAACATCTTAAAAAATGTCTGTCAGACCGAGGTTTAACCTCCTTTTCACCCCGGTTCAACCTCGGTTTTTCCTCAGTTCAACCGCGATTAGACGTGGTTTTACCTAGGTTAACCGCGGTTTTCGTTAGGTTACTTCTGGACAGTACTGTAGGAAACAAATTTCAGTGCTACTGAACTTTGCCAATCTCAACCATAAAAATTACTTTCAATCGAGTTTACGCACCGAAAATCATGCATGCGATTACTGTTAAATCGCGAAAAGGAAAACAGTGGATGATTTCAAGGTGATGCAGCTTTTTGACGCTCAGTCGTTGATAAAAATATTTAATACGGACTATGTAGCATGGAAGTAGATTTTATTTAATGATAAACTCACATAATTCATGTCATCTTTTAATTTCACGGGATTTGGCAAGATGTTCTCCAATGGTTTAATGTGACATATTCCCACATCAGGTACACGGGTAATTGTTAAGCCCTGTACGAATAAAAAATGTTTTCTGCAGCGTAGGTTGAAGCATATATAGGCTGCAGCCTTTTCAAAGTTAAATGCATTCAGTCAGCAATTTTTTACCAGATTAAAGTCGTTCAGCACTTCAGAACGATTGACGTTGTTGTGCTTTGGCACCGTGAATGAAACAGTATTCTCGTTTTCACTGACACTGATCTTCTCAGTAAAACTAGTTCCTCTTTCATTTATACGTAGTTTAAATTGTGCGTCATCGGTCTAAAAATACATTTTAAGATTTACAGATAATATTTTTCTTATATATAATTATAGCTATAGTGATATAATACATAATATAGAATTCTAATTCTAATAAACGGTACACAATTTAAGTATTCTCAAACCTTGGAAATAACGACAGAATACAACTGGATTATCAAGAGAATAAAAGAAAAAAAAAATCCTAGCTTATTCATTTCCTCCTTTCGTAACAAAACTTTTTTCAAACACTTTAAAGGAATCCAAATATTCCGAGTACAGCAGACTAGAACGTGGAGACTATGCCTATGCTTCACCTGTATTTATACCCATTCCTTGGCAGTAGGGTCTCTTTATCCAACGCCGGACGTCTGAAGCGCGGTAGGGAAAAGGCTGGCTGATCAATCAAGTTTAATCATTCTGACCTTTGCTGACACGCAGCTACTTATGATTATTTGCACCTGGAGTAATTGTTTACTTTATAAGTAATTAATAGACAAGGAATAAGTTGTTATATGAAGCCCGTCTCAGTGTCTGTAAACAATAAATGTTAGTTCAACTTGTGTGAATGTATTGAATCTCGAGTCAATTGCTGTCATTGCTCAAAATCATTTAAAAGTATTTCGCGCGAAATATTATTCCGATGGATAAATATTAAAGTCTAACAAGTGCCTTTATTAGGGCCATTTAAGACAAATGCAACAATTTAAAAGCATAAAACTATATTATATTAAACAGTGACGCTTCGTCTTACCTTATGATATGCTTGTTCAGACAAGATAGACTTAGTTTAGTGTTATATTTAAAATGGGTATCAAATTTGGAATTGTTGCTTTAATAAAAAAATTTTGTTCGAAATTACAGGGGGTCCTTCAAATAACACCTTTGTTACACAATTCTGCTGAAAATGGTAACATTTGCGCATATGTACATAATGCAAAAGCGTACAGCGTACCCTGGCAAAATTTTGAAAACTTTGTTTGCCTGACTGTATTTTCCGCACTTCACGAGTCACGACAATTTGCAGCCAAACAGTCGTAATTAATTTGACCTACTTGTCAAGATTCGAGGCAACACTGATGACATATTTGAATGTTCATATCCAAAAGGGTTTTCTATCAGCGAAAGTAACTTTATCTCAGCACAATCAGCATTGTCAGTCATCTTCATGCCTGCCTGATATTGCTCTTCATCTCTCCACCATGTTTCAGACATCCGGCAATATCCATCCAATATATCCACAGCTTATTGCCGGACGTCTGAAATATGATGGGGGAAATGTAGGGGGGCAGGGGACGAGCGGAAGTATAAATATACTTAGGGAGATATATAGGAACAATCACAATATTTCGGAATTTCATTTAAAATAATACCAATAGTGGGCTTTTTCGACCCGATAGAATATGGGCTTAATGTAGGAGAATAATAGGTTACTTTTCATGACGCTATTGTACAGCGGTATACACTTGTCAGTAATTCACATGTCGAAATTTGTTGTAATGCGGTTTTCAAATGTCGGATTTCGCATGACAACGAATTACAACTAATTAAACCAGCAGCCTTATGAGTATTCGCGTAATGCATTGCTTACGTTTAATATTGTGCAATAAACAAAACTTGAACTTGAAATTCAAGTCAAGTGCATTCTGACGCGGTTATATGACACTGGAAAGCCAGCGTTTAAAAATCCGTTAATGCATGTTAGGTAATTTATCTCGACACTCTTTTGAAACGGATACATGCACTACATTGCAGTAACCCAAAGCTAGATCAGACTTAGGTTATTGTTTACCGGTGCCTGTTGAAACGGATGAATTATATCGCCGGGACGCTAGCGCGACATTATCCTTTTCTCAAATCAAGTTAGGTCATTGTTTAGGTCAAGTTAGGTCATATTTCATATATGAATTGCTACCTTCACATATGAATTTTAATTTTTTGACATGACGTTTTTCTATATGTAAAACGATTCATATATATGAAATCTTGGCTTCTTTGATATAATAATTTAAATCTTCACCATTCACGTCATTAAAATTTCACCTGTACTGGCTGTACATGTGAAAAATAAATAAAATATATGACATGCATGTCACTAGCATGCTAGTTTTACATGTGAAATTTGTTTCACATATGAACTTGAAATTCCAGTGATAACTCTACTCACTTGCCAGCCAGCGCGATTTATTAAAGACATCCGTTAATTCAAGTTAGGTAATTTATTTCGACACAGTGCATGCTGAAACGGATACATTTATCGCTTAGGGAAGCAAGTAGCCCAGTGCGACATCAGACTGGCGTCAGCTCGATTACTGAAGACTGCTGAAACGGATACTTTATATCGGAAAGCTAGAAGCTAGCGCAATTTAAGATATCGATCATGTGATTGTACTGCATACGTTAATTTCATTGGAAATCGTTGGACATCTGTCTTGCAGTGTGTGCAAGATGTGACGGTGAGGCGAACAATGTTGATATAAGAAGATATAAAATACAATAAACTTGGTTTACTTCATATGATTTTATTCACTATATATTTGTTTCGTATAACAAGCAGTGCTTGCCACACACATCAGGTGAATTTAAATGTCGCGCTGCATAGTTGCCATATATATATATATACCACGCTGAACTTTGTTCCCTCAATTCAAGAAGCGAACTTTTATCAAATGCAGACATAAAATAAATTTCTCTCAAGTAATGTAACCTAATACAATAAGTATATGTATACATGCAATCCGTTTTTCGTCAAAAATGTAAATAGTATATATATAACCATGCATGGCAACTATATAGCGCGACATTTAAATTCACCTGATGAGTGTGGCAAGCACTGCTTGTTATACGAAACAAATTTGTAGTGAATAAAATCATATGAAGTAAAGCAAGTTTATTGTATTTTATATCGTCTTATATCAATATTGTTCGCCTCACCGTCACATGCTGCACACACTGTAAGACAGATGTTCAACGATTTCCAATAAAATTAACGTACAATCACGTGATCGATATCTCAAATTGCGCTAGCTTCAAGCTTTCCGATATAACGTATCCGTTTCAGCAGTCTTCGGCAGGGCGCTTATATAGTGGGCGGTGCAACGCGTAACTGCGCGCTGATCGATGTGTGATGCAAGCGGTCTGGTTACGAGTATTGTTTTTTACAACAATGGCGGATACGCTCGAGATGCAAACGTACAAAATACAAGATGCAAACGTACCAAGTATTGATTGTTTACCAACTATAAGTGCCATCAACCCAAACCAGGATGAAGATAGTGAAAGTATTCGAGACCATGCAGGCTGGGCAGTAAAAAGAGCAAGAGACGTGATCAGCAAAGGGCAAAATGAACTCCCATTGAAGGAAACTTTTAAAAAGGATGCTTCAATTGTTTTTGGAACAAAGTCAAACGCATTGACAGTTTTGTCTCAGTTAGGTGGAGACCAAAGGCAGCCAAATGGGAACTATAGATTTTGTATTCATGAGCATGTTGTCCCATTTTTTATTTTTCTCCATAAATTAGTTGAAAGTCTGTTAAGCCCAGAAAACATTCTTCGAGAAAAAGGGAACATTTTAAAGTTTTGCCTTGACCATATGTCGATAAATGAAGAACTGAGAGCCAGATGGAATGAACTTATAAAAACATCTGATATTCCCTCATCTATTGCTGTCCTCCAAAGAGTAGTGACCTTTTTTATTAAGTCGAAGCAACAAATATTTCGTGAACAAGAAGCTTTAAAACCAAACAAAAGAAGTGTTGCTTTGCGACAGCAAATAAGACCCTCTGTTAAAAAATGTGCTGCAGTATCCTCCACCCAGACAAGAAAAAACCAAAGCATCGTAAACCTGAGATCCAATTTTAACAGTTCATCTATAAATGCATTTCTACTCAATCTGAAAACTCTACCCCATCATGAACAGGAAAAAGTATTGGGCAAACTTCAAGGAAAAGAACTGGCTAAAATTTTGAAGGCTTTGAAACAGCCAGCATTCCTGGGAAAAAAAAAAGAAAAACAAATAAAAAGCCTCCTTGAAGCAGTAAAAGGGGGTCTGGTGTGTGCTAATATTGAGGAGGTATGTTGTAATATTAAAATAAAACCATACAATGACATATAGTAAAATGATTTATTGCTTTACAATAGGAATAAATCAAAACATGTTATTTACAACATACCGTAAAATTATGAAAATCAACCACCTCATTTTATATATCTACAATATCCCCAAACCCTTTGATTTAACAAGGGTCCCCAATAAATTAATTTAACCCTTAATTTAACATTCCCACAACAACAACCCCCCCCCAAACATGACTGAATGTAGCATTCAACAATATCCAACCCACCCTCAATTTAAGTGTCTGCAACATCCCCCAAACCTAATAATAAGTGTCCCTAACAAACTCTTAATTTAACTTTGTCACCACCAACACACCCCCCCCCCCCGTGACTATATGTATTCATAGCGCTCAAAGCATCTTTGTATCCTCAAGGTTTTAAATGTTAGACAAAATATTCTTCCTAAAAACAATACTTAGATTGAATTCAAAGAGCACTGTAACTCTGGATGCCTGGGACCAGTTGTATACTCTAGTTACATTTAACTGCATATAGTAAGGACAAAATTGGATTGCAAAAATGTAGTTAAAACGTTTTTAGTTGTCCTTATGATAGGTATTCTGTGTCAGGGAAGGTCTTTTGCCCTTTATATGTGCTATTTCTAACACTAGAAAATAAATGGTTAAAGATAGACTGGCCACAAGTTGGTTGAAAAAATACCCTGAACATTGCTTCTTTTAGGTATGCTATCATTACCCTTCTGCTCCTCACCGAATTCAATATCAACAACATCATATGTGTTAGTTTGTTTCTTTGACAGACGCTTAGCTTCAGAACGAATTATCATACTATTGACATTGTAACCATAAGTGTACGCTGTCATATTATTTGTACCACCACATGCTTGCCTTTGCATAGAAAAGAATGACTCAACTATATCTTGACTTATTCTTTTAGGAATGATATAAGGCGGACTTCCATGAAGGGATCTGAATTCAGGTGTACCAATGAATTTAACCAGTGCTTTAAAGCCATTGATTGTTACCTGGAAATATATAAGGCAAATATAATTATAAGGTATATATTTTGTTAGGCCCAATAGTTGTTAATGTTTTAGTTCGCAAACATGATTTACATTGACTGTTTTAGTAACTGTAAGCTTTTGCATTGCTGGTCAATTTACCATACCACTTCTGTTTTTCACTTAATATGTGAACTTTTTGTATATAAATTTGGAAATAAATAGGCTTTAAACAATCGCTTTTGTGATTTTTTTTACCTGTATATCAAACATAGTTTGCCAACTAATGAAATGGGATGATATCTCTGATTTAAGTGCATATATAGAAGCCAATTCATTTTTCCAACTTTTAAAAAAGTCTAGTACATCATCTAAAGCTTTGATTCGGGTATCTTCTAATGAACTTAATGGTTTAGTATCGTTGAAGACATTCCACAATGCATCACAGTTTGAAATAAATTGCTGAGTTGATTTAGTTGCTTCATTTTCATACTTAGCCATGTCCTTTTGCACCTTTGAATTAAGTACTTGAACAGCTAGTTTAACACGCATTTTGCTCAAGCTGTCAAGATGGACATGAGAACTTCTAATGTCTGTGGAAAATAAATGTCTTCGTTTGTCTCGTAGATAAACTGAATATATATGTTCCCATAAGATATTCTTTGAATTCAGCAATAAGCACCTGGTGTATCGTGAGGAGTTTTCCTTATCGCCACTTTTGTAAATATTGTTCCGGAGTTTTTTGATTAGGTGAGGTGGATCAGACAAGAAAAACAATGGAAGCTTTCTTCGGTAATCGAGCTGACGCCAGTCTGATGTCGCACTGGGCTACTCTTGCTTCTCTATGCGATGAATGTATCCGTTTCAGAATGAACTGTGTCGAAATAAATGACCTAAATTGAATTAACGGATGTCTTAAATAAATCGCGCTGGCTGGCTAGTGAGTAGAGTTATCACTGGAATTTCAAGTTCAAACTCAATTTATCGCACAATTTTTCAACGTACTGGACACACAGAAAATGAAATAATATTGCAGATCGCAAAGAAAAATCTTATAATGCCCTCTCTTTCTAATGTCTCCTAGAAAATATGCCCCCTTATGGAAATTCGGCCCCTTCGATAACAGCAAGATCGTAAAAGTTTTTTTCGATTCATACTTATAGTTTGCATCATTTATTTTTGTAAAAAATTTTCATCGCGGCGAAGAGTGAACGTTCAAGGAATGCGTGAGAATTAATGTGCTATAGTGCTAATGCAATCATACTATAGACACATCACGGGATATAGGCTAATTACTGATTTGTAAAGGACTTAAATGCTCAGCTTTGCAGGAGAGAACATGCAGATTGGAATTTCCAAAATATTTCAAATTATTAATTAGATTTAGCTAGTTATTTTAGACTTATCATAACATTAGACTCCAGTAGACATCTGATATCTTTGTTCAAAAACCGACATTAATTCAGTAAATAAACAAATAAGTGGTTATTTCCTCACTTTGAATTCCTATGCCTTTTAGCTGCCCTTATGAAAATTTCACACAACGATTTCATATATGAAACTTGTGTTGAATTTAGACACTTCATATACATGAAAATTTCACAATGAAAATTGTTTCAAATGTGAAATATTTCATGTATGAAACCTTGTGTCGAATCGAAACACTTCATATATGAAAATTTCACATGTAAAATTGTTTCATATGCGAAAATGACAGCGAAATCATTCCATATATATGATTTTTACCCAAGAATATTTCATATAATTATCAAATGATTTCAAATAAGAAAATAAATGTTTCAACATATGAAATGGTGAGATGATAATGAAATAGCTGCATAATGAGTGAAGTTCAATGTATGCATTGAAAATTTATTGGATTAAAACTTATATAAGAGGTTTAATATGCGCCGATGTAGATAAAACAACCAACACCGTACCGATCTGTCTTTGATCGCTTCATGTTGACACGGCACTCTCGCAGAAGGATTGCCAGGAAGGAATCACGGCGTAGAGCTGGGGCGAGTGACTGGAGAAGTCAAACGGAACAGTGGAGATGAACTCGCTAACGCGTAAAAAGGCCAACGGACACGCCATCCAAAACATAGCAGCATCAGAACCACTCTCGCAGGTGAAAATGATGATGAACGTCAGCAAGGATTTCTCGGGTAACAGAAAGACGAAGAGGTTTCGACAGCCGATGGGGGTGTTGAATGTCTTGCAAAACCCGGCGAAGGCGAGGCGTATTTTCGGTGCGATCGCCGAAACCCCAATCGATGTGGAAGGACCGAACCGCAGCCAAATAGACGCAGGAGCAAGGGACTGGGCCAACGACGATGCAAACACCATCAGTTGAAACTTCGACGCTAGCACACAGGACGAGGGAAACAAGCGAGGAAATAAGGCACAAAATGACCAAAACTTCTTCATACCGGAGGCATATATACCTGCGACGAGAGGAAATGGCCAAACCACGTAATAAAAAAAACAAAACACTGCAACCGTAGCTCACGTTGAGTAGATCTGTCACCAGCGCTGAGCGGATGAGAGTAGGGTCCGAGTAGGCCGTTGGATTAAAATGACGGAATTCTTGCAAACGACATCGGGAAGGCGAATCATCAGCAGCGTTATGACGAACAGGCACGTGACGACCGGAAATGGAGAAGTGAAACAGGCAGGCGACTAAGACAAGGCGCCGAAGCAGATGCATCGTTAGCGATCCTTGGATGACCCAGAATTGATAACGGCAACCACAGCATCCTTGTCACACAGGAACTGCACCTGAAGACGCTGCCAGTGAATACCCGAAACGTGGCCTTTCAGGACGATATTAAAAATTTCCAGAGCAGTTACATTGGACGCAGGAACTGAAGTAGGCTACATTTCGCCAAATAACCCCAAAACCTAGGGCTCCGGCTGAATCCGATGCGACAATTACTAACAACACATTAATCCCTTACTTAATTAACACAAAAGGTTACCTTTTCCCGCGCCGGTCAAATTTCGAACTTTCGCAGGGAATGGGAAAAACTCACCACTGAACCTGACATTTTAGCAATGGTTTCAGGGACTCAAATTTCGTTTAATGGTATGTGTTCAATTCAACACCAAACTCCACTAAATTCCCTTCCCCGTGCTGACGCAGACAAGATACAGAATGCTATCCAGGAGTTACTGCATAAACAAGTCGTTGTCCCCTGTGACTCCGATCCTTTCGAATTTGTGTCACCTATCTTTACCACTCCGAAAAAAACGCCAATATTCGACCTATTTTAAATCTTAAAAGGGACGTGAGGACGTGGCAGGAAAACAGTTACAATTTTGCTATGGCTTTTCCAATTTAACAACTAAGAGAAAATTGATTCACTATCTGTAGCCTTTATACTTCTGTCACATGAGTCCAGTATACTTTTGTTCGGATTTCAGCCACTATTGAGGCGAGCCGATCCACAGATTCAGCCAACGAGCGAACAGTCGCGTTGTTCATCATCAATTGTTCAATTCTAGGGTATTCATTGCTTTCTGCACTATCAGATTGAACACTTGACTGCGTTTGTTTCGCTACGGTATATAGAACCGCCATGCAGAATGACCTCGCCTCTTCAAAAGAACTCTCCGTGTTAATAGCCCTGTCTACGCTAGCAGTCACGCTTGCAAGGTCGCCGCTCCCACACATAACTTTAATCAGCTGAGTACGAATTTCTCTTGCATTCTTTCCATCAACTACCAGTAACTTTTTGTTTTTTAGCCAGAGAATCGTAAAGCCTTCCACCTCAAAAGTTTCTTTTCATTTGCTGGCGATGACCATGTTCCTTGTAGGATAAGACCATGCATCCCTTACGAGTTCTTTCAAGCTGTAGTAGCTAATCGTGGGTACTTCAGCATAAATATGTTCACTACTTCATTCTCGAAAAAAACATGCATTCTGATTACCATGCACGCTTTTTGTTGATATTGCCGAACGCTGACTCAATGTCTCGCTTGCTCACCAAAACTCGCGCGCGCAAAAGTATTAATTATCTACGTCAACAAAGGACCGCTCACTTGTCGAAATTTTTCGAGAGGTTCACATTTCGCGAAGTTAGTTCGTTGCAAATTGTTTTCAAAGGCGTTGTTATATTGTTGTTCAATATTCTACATTGAAATTATCGAGAAAATATGTAAGTATATTTAAGATTTTATTATTTAGTATAAAAATAATTGTGGTTTACATATATTTTTTGTTTTAATTCATTTTGCGTAATATTAATCGGCTTAATTTATAAAATATAAACAGAGAAAAGTGTTTACACAGTTCCGTTTGTGCTTCTGAAGGAAGAGAATTTAGTTCACCATCGAAAGCGACGACGTAAACTGGTTTTGAGATTTGATTTAAGAAATGGAAATAAAACTATACTAAAAATACAGCAGCTCAGCGCAACGAATTAAGTAAATGCACGCGCTAATAAAAACGCGCGTGCAAATCCAAACGCCCGCTCCACGTCAATTCACGGCTTTGTAATAAGAATTTTTGTGTAACATCTTCACATTTAGGCGCATGAATGGCCTAGAGTTGGGTTCTGCGTGTTTCTCACTCTCTAAATGTTTAAGACTGCGCTTCGATCTTTAAGGGAATTTTTGTTTAGAACTTTTTAACATTATTCATGCATTTTTTCTTTCCCCTCTTTCCAGGAATATGAATTCTAATGATTCTCGCATCTCCTATAAGGTATGAATTAGTTATTTTCTTTTGTGGACAGTTCTGTGATTTTAAGAATGAATAGAAATCGGGAATTAAAGCAGTACTTTAATAAGCTTATAAACGTTCTAATTTTCACAGGAGGAATCAGTATTTTCGTTTGAAGAAGAAACGTTTGAGAGATCTCTGAGGTATTATATTTATTTACATAGCGTATAGCTATAACATAAGGATGTTTTATTATATTGACACGTGTTTGTCTTCATTTTGGGGAAATATTATTCATCTGTGATACGAAAAAATAACGATGATAATAATACCGAACGTAATATTTTATTATAAAGTATAATAATAAAAAGGCATTCCTTGCGTCATGACAAGCCATACAAGTGCTTCTTACTCATTTAGCTACCCTCATCTTTCAACGCAAGGGGGAGATGTTAAGTTTACATGGAATTTTTTTTGTGCCAGTAGGACAAAAAATTTAGCAAACTTTCTGGGAGCGGTTGTTCGAAAAGCGTTTAGCTTAAACTGTGCATGAATAAGCCAAAGCTTAAAAATACTTTCATACATCTTGTATACGGCTTTGTAATAAGAATTTTTGTATAACATTTTTACATTTTGGCGTATGAATGGCCTAGAATTGGGTTCTGCGTGTTTCTCACTCTCTAAATGTTTAAGACTGCGCTTCGATCTTTAAGGGAATTTTTGTTTAAAACTTTTAACATTATTCATGCATTTTTTCTTTCCCCTCTGTCCAGGAATATCAATTCTAATGATTCTCGGATCTCCTATAAGGTATGAATTAGTGTTTTTCTTTTGTGGACGGTTCTGTGATTTTAAGAATGAATTGGAAATCGGGAATTAAAGCAGTACTTTAATAAGC